CAGTAAACCTAGGCAGTGTGTTGTTGGACTGTGTTCCCAGAATTCTCCACAATAGAAATGTCTGATGGACAGTGTTTGGAAATAGTCTAAGAAGGAATGTGAAAATCAAAATTCCTAGAACTCCTAGAAACAAATAGACTGCATTAGTTTACTTCATCAAGAACTTGTATGAATCTTTTTAAAAAAGAGTTTGCCTGGTCACCTCACTTTGGTGACAACTGTTATGTAACCACATTTGTTACTCCATAACATTATTCTGCACAGGTGTGCATCTATTTTCTTCATCTTTTAGGTATTTTGAAATTATTTTTATACTTTTGTTAACAGAATACAAATTTGGCTTTTTATTGTGCTTTGTAGTAATTGTACTGTATACCATACAGGATACAGGCTGCACTGAATGATGTATGAATGATTTCAGACTGACCAGTAAGTCAAACACCTGGAAATCAAACACATGAAAGGGTTTGCATGCTCTTAGTCAGTTGTGAAAGAGATAAATGCTAAAACTGCTTTTATTTCATAGAACAGTGTACAATATGAAATAGCTGAGGCAATGTTATACAACCAGCCTTTTAAAACTCAGTGCATTATTATTGTTTTATAGCAAAATAATATGGGAAATGGGTATGAGTCTTTCTTTGGGGTTTTTTGAGTTTTCTGTGTATGGTACCACTTTCTGATTCAGATTCTGAAGTTACAGATTACAGGATCTTGAGTCAATTGTCAATGGTAAATTGTAGATTCTTTTCAAACCTACATTTTTTTACATAACTTATACATTTGGAACATAAGCATCAGTTTCTTTTTTAACCCCTATTTTTTTTGGGGGGGGGGAGTATTCTAGACATCGCACAGAAGCAAACTTTCTACTCGCTCAATTTAATGAGCAAACAGACGGCTCAGAAAACGTTTGTCAGAGCAACATGTGGACTGCAAAAGGTGGCTATTTGTAGATATGATTTGTAAAGCAAATAAAAGCTTGGGAAAGCACAAACTACATCTTTGAGTTCTCCACATACGCTTCAGGCCAAAAATAAATAGGCGCTGAGCTTGAGTTCTTGTGCTTTAAAGCTTATAGAACAGTCCATCTGGAATCCGTTAGGAAAAAGGCTAAACTTTAAAGACACTGTTTAAAAATACCGCAAGACCATCATACAGTGGCAGTATAGCTGCCAACTGAGGACAGGCTTAAAAGATACTTTTCAATGGCATACCCCTCCCCACCTCCTGCAGTTGAACTGCGTTACTCATAAGGGCTATTCCAAAAATGCTTCTGCTTAAACAGCTTATAATTTTCCTTTTTTTTTCCACCAAGTTAAGAAGCACTTACTTCAAAAATAGAACTTAAAACACAGTGCGTCTTCAATTTCACCTAAGGTATTTGTGATGTTTCACAACCTTTAGGGCAGTTTTTGAGATTTAATTGCTGAAAATTGCACTTTTGTAGACAGGAGTACATTCCCCTGTTTTTGTGCAGCCAGTTTCTGAATGTTGAACTGCGCCTCTGTCTCCTTCCTTTGCTGTTTTTCTGTGCATTTGGAATTTTAAAAACATGCCGCACTCACAATGTGTGTTTAGACACGTATGGGAGAACATAGACAATACAGTATAGCCAAGACATGAAAAGTGTGGCACATAAAGAAACACATTAAGGCTCTTAGCAGAATTTTTTTTAAATCAAGCAGATCTGATAGGCACCTCTCATCACACATGCCTGCCTGCACAGCAGATATGTCTTGTGAGGGTGGGGGGTGAAGACATCCAGCACTCAAACACAGTCTGTGACTGACGGCTCAGCTGGTGAGGGTTGTTGATTGGAAATCCATCGCACATAGATCTTGCAGTACTTATCAGAAGAAGTGAGAGCAGAAAGGATGGAAGACAGTTTGACTTTGAACTAAACTAACCACTACATGATTATGAGTTACGCTGGAAAAATACAGATTTGAGGTCCAGGTTTTGTGTCATCCAATAAATATTAATAACAATGGATATCCTAATAAAGAACCACATTTAGTTTTGTTTTTGTCGTGAGATTTTTCCTCATGTCTTGATTTGAATTGAAAGGAAAACCTAGAATATCAGTAAATCTGCAAATAAATAACCCAAAACATTTGTTTTATTGAGGTTTTAACATTGGCACCTTAAATGTAAGTACTTAATGTTTGGTTTATGACAGCCAGTATTTCTTGTCTCTCTGTTGGTTTCCTACCTACAGTATGTAAAATACATATTGACCAGAAGTGTTAGTGAACCTTTTTACTTGGGCACTTTTGAAAGATTATACTTTGCTGTCTATTGATCAATATGCATCAATGCAAACATAGCTTTACCTGGCAAGGTAAGAAAGTTAGATGAAATATGTGTATTATTTATTGCTGTATATGCATGCCACCTTTTACCCAGTGCTATTCGTTGACTACTCCAGTGGGTTACACAGCATATTATATGAAAAGATAACTTAATATTAGAAGCATCTTTTAAGACTACATCAATATATACCATCTTGCTGATTCAGCAGGAAAGAAATTACATAGGCACACTTCCGAGTTTACAGAAAGCAATAAAGACAGGAGAAAACCTATGCATAATGGAATAAAAAATGTAATTCAATATTAGGCCATTGTTCTTATACCAAGCAGGCAAACCAGCAAATGCTCATGGGCTGTAATATCTTTAGCTCATTGTCCAGTTTTATCCAGCACCAAGCACATTTCCAGTAGTATTCTTTTCTTAAACGCATTACCTTTTGTGCTTCAGAGACTTATCACATTGTAATCTGAAGCCATTTTTCACCTGTTGTACGTTTACCTTGAATTCAGTTATAGCAATAAAACGTCCTTGTCTTGTCAGTAAGTTTTATACAGAATATTGAACATCTCACTATGCTGTAGTACTTGCATGGTTTGGTAGTGAAAAGATGCAGCTGAGATGCAGGTAAAAACTGTGGAAGATTATAGGGTGGAATTAATCATCAGAGCTTGTTTTTGTCGCATACCAATGCATTAACAAGTACCTTAAATTTATTTAATCACTGAAACATTTTAAACACCACTTGCTGGAATGCGTGAATATTCAGTAAGCTTAAAAGGAATCACTGAGAAAAACACGCTTTAACAAACAATTGCACCTAAATTGCTTTATTGTAACACTGTTTTGTAGATACAACCTGCCGATGCTTAACATCTACAACTAAAGGTGATATTGAAAATTTGAAGTTTATGAAATTAAGTATTTCATGCAGCTTAATTAGTGTATAGACTACGGTGGATAAGGATGATTTTAAAGTTTGTTACAGAAATGTATTGTTGCGATTTTACAACCCAACAAGCATTTCTAGCCTTCTGTTATTGAAAACAGTACAGTATTGACTTTCTAGTTTTAATGCAATTCATAGGTTTCCAAATACTGATTATCTTTGCTTTTTTCCTTTCAACAGCCTTTTTTTTTTGCTAAGAAACCCCACTGGACTAGGCAGTGGTGCTGGCTCATTATTGCTTCCTTTGGACAGCATGTAGAAATCTTCCTATGAGAGCAGGGGGATGGGCTGTTTTTTTTTCTCTCGCTCTTCAATCTTTTTTCCAGTCTCTACCCTCTGGTTATGACAAATTGGGTAGGAGATCGTTGCATTAACCTACCTAGCTTAGTCGCCATCTCATATTTGCAAATGTGCTCCTGCTGAAGCTCTAATTATACAAATCACCTGGGATAAAGACAGTTTTATTGTCACAATTAGGCGCAATGTTCTTGGCCAATATTGTGACAGCAAGTAGTGATTACAGTTGTTGAGAAGACCGTGACAGAACAAGCATTTTATATAATGGAGATGTGGGGTCTGGACTGTGTTGGGAAAAAATATATACAATATACACAATTTAATTAAAATGTAATTTCATATGGCACTTATTGTACTCTCTTACACTGCCTTTTAATAAATAATGGCTATTATTTATAACCTCTTGTTCTAATTTATTTAAAGATTTTTGTTCGGGGTCCACCATTTTCATTGGAATTTTAATTATGTAATATTTATCCCTCACTCAAATGTAATTATGTGCGTTGAGGGTGTAATTAAGATAGTGGTAGCTTTTCAAGATAGCTCATAGTACGGATAATACCTTATTGGGATTTGAAATTTCGAGAACACATTTAACAACTCTGGATTCTTCTTTCTCTGGAGAAAATTTACCTTCTTGTGCATCTATATATTTATATCTGTTTAAGTATTTAAATATATGCATACGTGAACATTTTCAGTTAGAAATCTAAAAGATTATGTTACTGGAATGTTATGTATAAAGAATAAAATCATGTCAGAGGGCATGTGAATACCCATGAAAACCTTGCACCTGAATTTTGCTTATACATTTTTATTAGGTTTGCAACACTGCTTTGAAATAAGAAAGGAGAAAAAGCAGATCAAGATTTTAAAAAGCCTTGGAAAAAAAAAAACGTTTGAATTTTAATCCTGATTTCAGCCAAAGTTTGGTTAGTGTCTTAGTGTAAAGCCGTAGATACATCTGAAGGTTTGCGCCTTGCTAGCAAGGTGTCGTGCTAATTAGGTCCAAAAGGATTTGAAAACCCAGGAGACTAATCTAAAGCAAGCAAATTCTTGAGGTCCGTGTAAACACTTCTGTAGTAACCTGGGCAATCTATTTATAACTCTTAATTTTTCTGTGGGTTCAAAATCTATTAACATCTTGTATGCAGACTATGGTAGTGTGTTTCCCTTTGTCCATTTAGTTAGATGACCTTGCTTCTTGTTTTTCTTTCCAGGGCTTCAAAACTCTGTTTCAATATGCAGCTGCCTGAAGTGCCGTTGGTTGGCTTGTCTTGTCAGCATTGTTCCAGTGCTCATTCCATATGTATGTCACATCCCAGCACTGCCCCCCCTCCCTTTTTCACCCCACCACTACTCCACTACCCTCCCCCCTTCTGCTTTTGCTTTCTTATCTAAGAAAGATTGGCTCTTTTCTCTCTGAGCTTTCCACTGCAGGGCCAAATTAGAAGTCTTGGTAACAAAACCAGTGCAGTGCTACTTTCTCTTAAGTTTTTTTTTTCTCTCTCTCTCCTTTCCTATCTGCAGCTTGTGAGGGGATGCTACACGGCAGTAAGAACTAATCTTGGCAGTTGCTCAGTTATTTTTTTTTTCCCCCTCCTGGATCTGTACCACCACAGTGGAGAGTGAGCAAGCTCTCATGCTCCTGTGTGCAATGTGCTCTTAATCCCGCAGGACGTTTGTATGCTGTGCGCTTTGGGAACCTGTAGTAGTGAAGTTTTAAATGAAGAACTCTGTGAAGTGAAGGTTTCATAGCATGTAGCCATGAGAGCTCAGTTTCTGGGTTTTGAGAGAATATATGCTGGTCCTTCTTTCCTCCTAAGGTAAGGATTCTGACATGTACCTTTTGAAAATCCTGTAGGTTGTTTCTAATTATTTACATTAGCTTCATAGTGATTTGAGTGCAGAGGCATGAAGCTACAGTAGTTAAAATTTGCTTAATTTTTTTTTTCTGGCTTGCTTTTAATTGTAGCACTGCTTGAGTTTTGGACCTGTATGTAAAATAAAGGAGAGCAATTGGAATACATTAAGGAACATGTGTCATGCTCGGTTATAATAACATTGCAAATTTTAGATTTCCAAAACTTTTTTTTTTCTGAGTATACAGTGTTGTCTTGCCTCTCACTGAATGAATACCGGCTTACGTTTCCTTTCAAAATGTTGTCGGTTAAGTGCCTCAGCTATGTGCTGTATGCTGCTGCCAAAAACCATTGTTTTAATTGAGCACTATCTCTTGTTTGGACTTTTTAAAAATGTAATGGAATTGATTTTATGATTATCAGATTATCGCTTAATCTGATGATTTATTTGCATCTACATTGGTGATTTTATTTTAACTTTTTGCTTTTCAGTTAGCCAAAAAAAACTTGTTCAATAGGATGATTTGGAACTTTGATTGCTAAGTGATGCGTCTGCCTGCTGTTAATCTCATGCATGTTACATTAGACATCTGAAAACAAAGCCTTTTGCCCATACATCCTTAATTGCCAAAACATAATTCTCCATAATTGCTTGAAATTATTGTCAATCAGAATCTAAATATTTCTAACCCTTTGCGTTTGGACATGTCAAGCTCTGTTTTCTTTGACATGTTATTTGTTTTGAAAAGGTTTAAAAGAATTGGTACACCCCCCTGCGCCCCCATATAATGAATTCCTTTTAAGTTTGAGCCACATTCATTTGTATAATAACACTGGTATTTCCCCCAGCACACCTAACAGCACTAACAATGCTTAAGGATCCAGATACACTTAAGAAATAGTGCATGGAAATATAATCAGATCATTTATACTTCTTTTACCAAATGCTTAGACTAAATTTTGGATGATTGCCATGGTAAGGCAGTAACCTGTGTCAGCCTTTCTAAAATTTGATGTTGTAAAGAGCAATGTATTTTGGGCAAAAATATGCATGTACAGTACTTTGTCTTAATGATTTTATCTTATGGTTACAGCAGGGATAAAGGACATGGGAGCACAGTGCTTATATACCTAAATGCTTCTTTGTAAGTGTGTGTTGTCCAGTACTTACTGGTTTTAGCGTACTGCATAATCCTTATCTGGGAAAATGTTCACTCTGAAGTTCATTGTGAAGATTGTATCAGGCTTTTTCTCTGTTCAGCAGTGCACACAAGCATTGTGAATGTAACCCACCATATAGCACATGGATGTTCTTTTTTCTTTTCTGGTCTAAAAGGCTATTTTTGTCTTTTTTGTTGTAGTTCTCTTTTGAAGCAGTAGTAACCCAAATGTGTCCTTCTCTAGGTTAAGTCTTCAAATGAAATCTGTTGGAACCATTGTACATTGTGCAGCAATCTAAGAGGGAGGATATACAATAGCTTAATTCCTTGTATTTCAGACAAATTTCCAACTTAATTTGTTGCTTCTAAAATCAAATAAGATCAGATGTAAAATAGCCATTTCAGATCATTTTTGTGAGATTTTGCTACACATACAGTGTGTGGAATACGTACCATGGTGCAATTTAACTCATTTGCTGTAGATAGAACAGGTATATTCTCATTTTGTTAAATATTTCTCAGATCCATGGTTCTGGTGAATATCATTTCCAGGATGATACCCACAGCTAGGAGATAAGACAGCTGCTTCTACACTAATAAGTGTGTCAGTAAATGAAAGTTTGCATTTTCTATTGTCATAGCTTGAAAAAGTGAAGTGTACATTTACTCAGTATAAATCTGAGAAGATGCTGAAAGATTCACAGTTATATGTGGTCATTGATGTACTGTAAATGCTCAGCATCCCCAAACCACATAATTAAAGTCTTGTCAAGTAGATAATTAATGCACTTGACCTTTAAAAATGTTTTTCACTGTATATGTAGTTCTTCTTAAGTTTTCTGTAAAAGCAGTGTGCACTGTTGTTCGTACTAATCCTTAATGGATCTGGATTTATAAAGAAATGATATATGAAAGTGGCTGATGTATTTACTGCAGATGGCAAATCAAATGAATTATTATATTTCTGAAATTAAAAATGATCTCAAACACTAATCAACTCAGAAGTTAAATCAATTGTGTTAGCATGGGAACTGAAATTTAACGGGGATTGAATATCCCTTATGTTTTTTGAGTGGTTCAGGTTCCTAATTCTAATTATGGGATTCTTAAGATATAGCCTCCTTTTCAATATCTATTTTCAGTCCTGACTTCTCCTTTGCACTGCAGATGTAATTTTCACTTTCTCTTTTCTTTAAAATTATGAAGCAATATTTTACTTAATAGAAGAAAACAAGTAATATTATTTGATGGGTTCGTTGTACATTGTAGCTGCAATATTTCAGCTCTTTTATTACTGTTTTTTTTAATATATACTTTATTTTTATTTCAGACCAGTGGGGATTTGGAATCAATAGCTTAGCTGTTATTGCTCTCACTGCATGATGAGTTGTATGGATCTAAACCTTTTATTTCCTTCAAAACCTGAACAACACCAATATGAGAATACCCCCTTTTAGAACTCAATGAAGAGGTGACTCATGAGTAGTAGTATTGAAAACCCCTTCCAAAAACATTATGAAGCACTACCATCACACTACTTTTAAAAGAATAAAAAGAATGTTGGGAATTTTAATATTAAAAAAATCAAGTCTCTGAAACAGGGGTGTCTCTCACTGTGAGACTTCAACTAATGTCCTTCTATCATACATTGCTTTATCTTTTAAAAGTTCAGTTATTTTTAAATTGTTAGACCAGTTAGACTCCAATACAGTCAAAAAGCATATGCTGCTTCATACGTTTAGTTTAATTGTTATTCGTTATTTCAATACATTCCTATACATGCCTTCGAATCCCATGTCTTAGTATTAGAAGATATGTAGGTACAGTAATGCTCTCCTGTGCCAAGTTTGGAGATGCAGTCTGACATTGTAACAGAGATGTTTAAGGAAACGGGAAAAGATGATCTCTACAAAAAACAAAAAAACAAAAATTGGCTTCATTGCACACTGCACCCTTTTAAGCTGTATTGAAGAATAAAAAGTGAAGTGAAATGGGAAGAAATCGGTTTCTGTTACACAAGAAATTCTGAATCCATCATTTTTATTGATATTGAAAAGTGTGTAAAACCATGTGAGCCTTCTCAAAGTTCATTGTCACATAATAAAAGGATACTGGACTTGATGAGTGCCAATGAACTAAAGCCCAAGTGGAGATTTTTATTTTTTCTTTTATTGTTATAAAACTTGAAAAATTATCATCTTTTAACAAAATTATCAAATGTTATCAAAACATACATTTCTCTGAAAATGTGCTGTATGATTCTTAAATTTCTAACAATTTTATATAAGGATGAAGTCCATAGTAGTGAAGTCCAATGCTTGAGCAAACTACTGTATGCACTGAAAACCATCATCTGCTGTAGGTATAGTAGGTGCAGACATTGAATAGTAAGCCTTAGCCCAGTAAATAACTTGTATTTATATACAAAATAATAAATATCCTGTGTGTATAATCTACTGTAGGAAGCGTCCTCTCGTGCTCCATAGGGTTATATCAATACACCATGTAATAAATTTCTCAATTTCTCTAGTTCTCACTGTGTTATGGGGCTGTTGGCACATCAGACATGCCTTGAATGTGGGTGCTGTACTTCAGTGGTGAATGAATTGGGTCCCTTCCAATATTTAGAGTACTTTGAGGTCCCCTGGGAAGAATAGAGATTTTTGAATGTAACAACTTATTCTTATATTAAGTATTGACTGAGACACTGGCTTTAGCACACTTTAAAATTTGATGACAACTAAGAAGAACACAGCTGGACTGAAGTAAAAAGAAATTAGGCCTAATAAATGGGTTAGGTTTTCCCATATGTACCAACTCTTTGGCTTTCGCAGTCCTAGATTACCTTAAAAACATTCCCTGCTACTGTACTTTGCCTGTCTAATCAGTCCATTGCTTATGCCTGTTCTATTATTTCAGTTATTTTGTTTTCTTTTTTCTAAAAACATGGATTGTATCCTTAATGTTCAAGTGTAATTACTTTTTGCCTTACCCTGGCTGGTAAATAAAGTACAGTATAATTTTATTATTTCCCAAGATGCCAAAATGACTGTCAATATACAGTATATATATATATTTGCCTCCATCACCCACAGTTATTTGATTTTTTGTTCATTAATAAAATGTGTCAAAGTCCAAGAGTGTTTTAGTTTAAAAGTTATTTGTCTGATGTGAGGATCTGATGTAAAAACACGCACACATTTCCACTAAGCTACAGCTATTTATTTTTTTCTACTATACAGACTATATAGTAGAAAAATGCACATCTGTTTTCATATTGAGTAATCTGAAATAGAATGTCAGTGTTTTGTGTTATTGTTATTCTGAAAGAATTTGCCTGTTAAATATTAAAGCAGCAGCACTGATGGAGCTGGGCTTTTTAACCCGAATTAGCATCATAATGAGGTGTTAGCCAGAGCAGCGACTGGGCTGCTTGAGCAGGTCTAGGGGGGAGGGGTGGCGTTGGGTGGGGGGAGTTCTCTGGACTTTAGACAATCCTTGATGGATAATGCAGGTGTGAGTGCAACACTGATCCACATTGGTGAGCTCAGTATATTTCCTCTTCCATATATTATTCCTTTGTCTGGGAGTTTTAAGAAAGAGGCCTCACTCACCCAGGAAATTAGCTATCAGGTAACCTTGTGTAGATTTTCATACTTATTTTGCCAGATTTTCCACTAGCCAAAGCCAGTGCCATGTCTGTGTGCGTGTTAAGTTGCACTGCTGCTGTTAATTCAATATGGGTTACGAATTTCATAAGGTTTTTTTGCTATAAAGAAGAGTATAATACTACCATAAGCGACA